TTCAGGAGGACAAGAAGCAGATAGGAGAGGCCCGAGGTGACGATCCCAGGGAGGTTGGACAGCTCAGACGTGACAGATCACCCTTTGGGAGCCCGAAGAGCCGCTCTGAAAACTGAAAGGTGGGGCTGGAGGGGCAATTTGGATTTACCCCAAACCAGGACAGGCAGGAATCCAAACCTCGTAGGGTAGATAAAGACCCTTTCACTGCTTTGTGTCCCCCCCCTTTCCCTGGCAGGTGTCCTGCCTGCAGACCTCCATCTGCGACGTGGAGCAGCGCGGCGACTGCGCGCTGAAGGACGCGCGGGAGAAGCACGTGGAGCTGCAGAGCGCCCTGCAGAAGGCCAAGGACGAGCTGGCCTGCATGCTCAGGGACTACCAGGAGCTGCTCAACGTCAAGCTGGCCCTGGACATCGAGATCGCCACCTACAAGACCCTCCTGGAGGGCGAGGAGAGCAGGTGGGTGGCGCGGACTTGTCCCTCATCGCCGGATTTCGGGTTCTGGAGGTCCCCAGCGCCGTATTTTGGGTTCTGGAGGTCCCCCAGCGCGGGTTTTGCAGCTCTGGGGGGTTCCCAGGCGATGTCAGGAGGGTTGGGAGTTGGGATTTACCTGCGTTTCCTCTTCCTCTCTCTCCTCCCACCACAGGATCTGCGTGGGGAACCCCGTGAGCGTGTGTGAGTACTCCTGGGGTTTTTTGGCCATCGGGGTGGGGGGGTTGTTTTTAGGAAAGGCATTTTTAGGGAGAGGTTCAATCTGTCTGTCTGTCTGTCTGCCCTAATCACTCTGCCTCCCCGGCAGGGTTTAACCCCAGAAATCTGAGAGGGGGTTTTAACCCCAGAAGCCTCAAATAATTGAGAATTTAAATTTAAAATAAGCAGGGTTTGGATGGAGGGGGAAAACGGGAGAGGTCAAATTCACGCCCTACTTTTCTCCTCCCTGAGGCGACAGTGACGATGCCCAGGACAGGCACTCGGACCTGGGAGGGAACGGGGCACCACCCGGGGCAGACACGGGGGGGACTGGGCGGGTCCGTGGGGAGGGGACAGGCACGGGGAGGGGACACACGTGTCGGGGACACGCGGGGGAGGAGCTGGAAGGATCTGGGGGGTGTGTGGGGGGGGCTCAATCAGACAAACCCCGAGGGATCCGCGGTCCGGGGTGGTTTCTGCCTCTCAAAGCACAACCTGCCCGGGGGGGAGCGGGACTGGGGAAGGGGGGTTTGATGTTTCTGCGGGTTCCCCCTCCCCAAATAACCTCCCCCCGGGGCTGTTTTGCAGCCGTGGTGAGCAGCGGCTTCGCCATGCCGGATGACTGCGGGGTGTTCGCGACCGGCTACGGCTCCCTGGGCCGGCGCTCGGGCAGGCACAGCTCACCGGCAGGAGGAGGAGGAGGAGGAGGAGGAGGAGGAAGAGGAGGAGGCGGAGGATTCAGCTCCCGCAGCGCCGGCATCCACCCCAAGCGGGTGATGAGCGCGGGGCCCAAGCCGTGCGTGGTGGCCCCGGAGTTGTTCTGCCAGCCCGGGGGGGTTCCCTGCAAGGCCGGGGGGTTCAGCTCCCGCAGCGGGGGTTACCCCGCCCGCCCGGCGGGTCTCAGCGCCAGGGTGGGGGCCGTGCAGGCCGGGGGGGTGCTCAGCTTCGGCAACCAGGGCTGCGTCATCAGGCAGCTGGCCGGCCCGCCCGTGGTCGTGTCCAGCAGCCCCGAGGTCGTGGGGTGCAACCCCGGCGTGGTGG